GAAGCTGCTATTTAAGAGACTGAGCTGAAAACAGCACCTCAGACTGAGGAAGTCTCTTGGATGACAGACGAAACGTTTCTAGATTTTTTTGCTTTGTTTTGTTTTTTTGTTTTTTTGAATGTCCAGAGGGCCAGATTGAACTTTTTTGGAGTTTTTTGAAAGGTTTGATTCAGGACTTAGGGTTTTGCTAGAGTTCTCCTTTCCACTGTGGTCTGCCAAACTAAGGACGCTCAAAACACAGGATTGAATCAAAGTGAAGATTTTATGCCATTCACCTGCTCTTTAAACTGGATCACTTATTTAAAACTTTTAAATACCAACATACTTGAATTATTGAATGGATTCCAACAAACTAAATTGTAACTGGAGAGAGGGTGACCTACACTATTTACTTTCTACCAACACTCACACATTATTATTGCTGTTTAAATTACTGGTGTCTAAGTTTATTTTAAAAGACTTGGAGTGTTCTGCCCTGACTGTGTTTATGCAAACAAAATGAGTATAATCCTTTTTTCTTTATTCCACACACAATCATGAAGAAAAGGCTAATGCTTTCATCATTCCCACAATCATCTTTACCTTTTGTTGCTCTCAGAAGATTCCAGCAGTGCCGAGTCCTTGCTGTTGCTGTTGGAGCTGCCCACTGAGTCATGATCATGACTCTCGTTCCCATGACTCTCATTGCCATGCGATTCAGTCCCACTTCCACTGGATCTGCTGCTCTTCATTTCCACATCCTCCTCGGGGAGAAGGCGAGAGCGCGTGTTCTTGTGCATGCTGTGTGTCGAGCCAGCAGGACCCTGACCACTGCTGTCGCTGCCCTCTGAGGGCAGGCCAAGGTCAGGCCCAGCTTGGCTGTAGCCTCCCACCCAATGCAGCTGTGCCATGGAGCTGCAGCCGGAGGCACAGCTGGAGGTGGATGCTCTGCACCCTGAGGTTTCATCCTGGTCCTCTTGCACCGGGAAGCAATAGAGTTTGGAGTTTGAATCCTTGGACATCAGTAAAAGCTTTATCCTGGACTCGTTCCAAGTTAGTTAACAGGAAAGAGAAACATCACCCCATTTTCACAGGAGTGACACCATGGAATAAAGAGAAGAAGACAAATCTGTGGATAGAACAAGATGACAAATGTTAGTAAAATATTTTTGTTTATTTATATCATATAATTCAGTACATGCAACAAATTAATATTTGGATAAATAAATGTCAGTAAAAATAGTTTGTTTTAATTATAAACACACTGACCCAATAACAACTTTGAAATGACATGGCTCTTTTGTGGACAGGAGGTTTGTTAGGAAATGAACAAGTTTCAAAGTCTGAAAATGAAATTCAGTGCTCCAATGTCAAAAACCAAAGAACAGCAAACCAAATATTTGTTTTAAAGAGTTTAGTAATACATCAGAGTCAGAGATTCTTTATTGTCATTCGCACCTCATGTGGTACATGTGGTGGAGCGAAATTATGTACACAGGGTCCCAGTTACATCCAACAATAAAATGTAAAAGAAAAACGATGATAACATCCAAGACATTAACTAAGAAAAACATCAACTAAATACTTTGTATACACTAAGCACTAATAGCATAAAAACATCACATTGAACATCAGCACAAACCTGAACACAAGTCCGTGTAAGCAAATGAGCACGCATGAACACACGAACACTGAAACAGATCAGCAGCAACATGATGTGATTTTTTTCACAGTGATTATTCTGGTTAGATATTCATGAGTCTAACAGCCTCAGGGTAGAAGCTGTTCCTCAGTCTAGTGGTTCTACACTTAATGCTCCTCAACCTCCTTCCTGAGGGGAGTGGGGCAAAAAGTGTGTGTGTGCTGGGTGAGTGGGGTCCTTCATGATGCAAGTGGCCCTCTTCCTGCATCTGGAGGTGTAGATGTCTGTGATGGTGGGGAGACTGACTCCAACAGACTTCTGTGCAGTCTGTGCATACATTAAGTCCATGCAAGTAACATCAACAGGGTGTTTAAACTAAGGGATAAATGATGTGTTCATCTCCAAACCTGGGCAATATCACCAATTATTTGGAAGATTGTGACTGTACACCCAAGCGTCCAACGCAGTGGTGAATGTGACCTAAAATGAAGATGTATGTGAGTGAAAGCTTGTTAATAATACTCAACAGGGTGTGCCTGTAGACATAAGGCAGAAGCATGTTGAGACGCTAACAGGATGCTCATATATAATCTTGTTTGTTTTCATATCAGAGCACATTGATGGGTTTGACACCTGACTCTGTCATTCTGTGAAAAGCATTAGGTCTGTCCCATGTGATCCTTTTGACCATTTCAAATGATTTCTCTGCTTTATGAACACATAGAAAACAAGACATGATTTATCTGATTGCCATCAAATGCCCCAAGCAAACAGCGTGGATCTTTGTCCTGTAATCTGTGGCCTCAAACGAACGAGAGAAGCTGCAAAGAAAGACTTCAAACAGTAAGCAGTCCTGTGTGACAGTCAGATTTCCAAACAGAGTCGACTTGAAATGGTTCTGCTTACAGAAAGTGACGCATCACCTCTACTGTTTGGAGAACCAACGCTAATGTGTTTGGAATGAACAAAAGGGAAAGCGATATGCAGTCGTGATTGTGAAATAAATCAAAACATTTTGTCAACAAGGCATCTACAGAAAATTGTCATTTAAGATGATGTAAAGCATTTTCTGAAGAGACTGGAATGAATATGGTTAGAAAATAAAAGAAGTGTGAATGTGGTAACAACAAAGAAAGAACCAGGAAGCAGGAGCTCGTCAGATTTTTAATCACTGATTTACCTGAAAACGACCACCCTGACAGCAACATGTACATGTTCAAATCCAAAAAGTTCAAATAAAAAGGCAGACAGCGTGGGTTCAGTTCATTATGATGTGTTATTACAGTAATTATAAGTCATGTAAGCATATAGTGAGTTCACTTACTGCAAATTACATTTAAACTGTGTTCATTATATCCAGAATTAATCTGGAGTAAAAATCAGGTAAGTGATCATTCTCAGAACCCTGTTCATAAGCAACAAATGATGTGAAAGACACAAGTGTTACTATTTAACCTCTGCTGCACCTTGAACTCATCTTTATAATGGAAAAAATGAAGTTATTAATTCAACAGAGCTTAACAGAGATGTGGGATTAGTTTCACCAAGCCTGTTTTGGGCATCAAGCCCGTACATGTCGAAGGATTTTTATGCAAGCTTTTTCTTGTGCGTCATTTGTGGTAGTTGTTTAAAGATGTGTTAAAGATTTGGTGACAGCTAACCTTGACTCTGGGTGCAGCATGCGTAGATGTTAAAAAAAATCACAACAACTACTGAATAGTGTTTTATATTGTCTCTAACTTGACACCATAGTCCTAGCTTAAAACAAAGTGGTAAATTAACAGCAGCACTGAAAAATAAAAAGAATATTTAACAATTCTCTAGTTCTTATCAGATTATAGATAGCAGTCTGTGTCTTCTTATCACGGGTCTGCAAAAAAATAGACAAATGTTGAAAGTTAGCATTAACACGTTGGGTCAGCTTACACTCTGTGAGAATGAGCGAGAGACAATCAGAGGTTGTAGTTTGGAAATGAAACAGGAAGAAAAAGTTTACAGAAGACTCATCCCTGGTGCCACAGTGCAGCTCTTTGTGAGATACAGTCCACCATGTAACGTTCTGGTTGTACAGCACAGAGGGAACATCCTTCACAAAAACTGCTGCCCACAGCTTTTATTAAGAAAACTTTTTTGTGTGTGAAGTGCAACAGACGCAACAAATCCAACCCTACATCTGGTCTCTGGATTGAAAGCTGAATGGATTTCTTTATTGCTATAATACACTGAACGGTACACAGAGTAGTAATGAATAAATAAATAATAAAAAGGTATTAGATAATGAACATGCACGAGGCTCAAGTAAGAGCACCAATAAGTGCACGTCTAAAGCATCTGAGCAATACGAAGCTGAGTTCTGAGTCCTGATAGCCTACGAATAAAACTGTTCGGCCTGTTGGTACATCTTGAGGACCTGAACTGCTTGCAGCTTGAACAGCCACTGACCTGGATGGGAAAGGTCAGAGCAGGTTTTCACTGCCCTGCTACAGAAGCAGTCTTAACAATGTGCCCAACTGCAAAATCTAATAGTTTGCACCAGTTACCAACCTGCCAGACTTTCACTTTATTTGCTCCCAGTCACTCCAAATCTGCTAACGCAGTACCAGGAGACAGAAAGAGACAGAGAGCAGAGCTGCATAGGACGCAGAGGAGGAAAACATCAATATGTGTAATAAAGCTCTGTGGAGACAGATGATAACCAGACACCTGCACATTCAGCAGTTTAAACAAGGCAACAATGATGAGTGCACATGCTTTTATACATTATTATTATGGTTTAAATAGAAAAAGGCACCATCGTCTTCACAACAGCCTCTGTTTCGAGTGTTTCAACACCACAAATTCCATATAGTAACTTAATACAGGGACACATGAAGCTTTTTAAGAGGTCTTACTTGCATATTATCCACTTGCTTCAAGTATATGAAAACAGTTCAAACACACATGGTTGTGAAAAGTCAAATGGCTGAAACTCCCAACATGTAATCCAGATGATCCCAGCCTAAATAATGAGAAATCAAATATTTAATCTGGAACACTAAAATGTTCGAGACACTGTAAGTTGCTGGACTGATATCATTCCTTGCTCAGAAAAAAACAGAATCTCTGGTTATAATTTATCTGGGAGTCATTTAATTATAGAAAAAAGTTTGAAATGGTTGATTTGACCAAATATTGATTTTTTACGACCTGCCTTCTCCCGTCTGATAAGACCCTATATGTCTAATCTCCCTCTGCAGCGAGGGTTTCTGAGGTTAATTCAATTTACTTGTTTCTTGTCGATAAATATATCCCACTCAGCTGAACAGCTGTTGAAGAAGAAAGCTGAGGAAACAATAATCTGGATTTTCTCTGAGGAAACTCAGGGAAAACTAAATCACATTACAGGGAACCTTACTCTATACTCTCCTCTTCGATTAAAGATTTCTGAGTCCCTTCTCAGGCCAACTCTAACTGGTTTTGGATAATGATATGAACGTATACATGGCACAGCTAAATGCTGGATATCAAGCTTTCCTGGACAAGCACACAGCCTCCGGCTACCAGCCTGAAAAGCATGTGTATGTCCAACATTGAGGCAAAAACAGAGAAACAAGTGCGTAACAAGATAAAAACATAACCCAGTTAAAGGCTATGAACTGCTCTTTGTGCTCTTTTTATTGCAATCAATGTGCTAATGAGAACACTGCTGACGTTTTGCTCACGTTTCAGGACTTTTTTTTTAGAAATCGATAAAATTAACTCACTTTATTGTGAAGTGGCGCAGCACTGTATTAAGACACAACAAGAAACCATTGGAGATAATGTCGTCATCAAGGTGGTGAGTTAAATAGTAAACAGTTCTTGTGTTACAAACAAAATTAAAGCTGTCTGTCTGAAAAAGCATTTTGATTTTTAATGCATGTTCTGTAAGAGACTGATGTTCCATTTCTCTTCAACCAGAACAATTCAAACTAAATCAACACTTATATGAACAAATATTTCATTGGTTCAAATCTAAACTAATGAGACAGAACAAAGAAAAAAATCACAGAAATATTTTTTTGTACATACACAGGGTAAAAACACAAGTTGAATCCCAGCTTGTGATAAATAATGTCCTTTGGCTTTGAAAGTGACAAAAACATATAATTTAAACCATTTCATAAAGATTACCTATACTGTGCCTCAGTGTGCAAATACATTAAAGTCAGTTAAATGTCAAAATCTTGGAGTAAGTGGCATTAACCTTTTCTTATCATGCAGTTTTTTTTTTTTGTTTTTTTTTTCTGGCAACTTTTGCATAAAGTTGATCATCATAATCTATCTTCAGCTATGAAATGGCTTAAAAGTGGCTGATCGTTGGTTCTTCAACCCCAGATTACATGCACAAACCTATGACAG